AAAATTAGTTTTATTTTTTTCGTAATTTATGTAAATATGTAACTACAAACTAGCTACCTTTTCTATCATTTCTATAGGAACTGCGCTACTAATGCACGTATATTTATATTTTTAACATTGTGTTACTACGCACGATGTATAAAATATATCGTTGTTCTAATAATGCGTGTGATACGTGCCCTATCGCCCTAGGAAGAGTCGCCTATCTAATTTCCGAGTGGTATTAACATAAATAATATTTTAATCAAAGTAATTTTCATATTACTCATCGCCTCTTATGCAATTTATAATACACGTTGTTTCTGTTGATTGAGTTCTTGCATAATCAATAGCTTTACAAAAAAAAAAAAAAGTTATTTTCAATCAAAATGAGCCTGGAAGAAATAAAAAAATATTACCAAGACGCAATTAAAACTTATAGAACACTGAAATGGCGATAAGATGGCCACATGATGAGAGAGAGGAGGGAGAAATGGACAAAAGTCATAACGGGATGGTACCCAAGAGGCTATAAAAAACAAAGGAAGACAGTTAATCAGATGGGATGATGAAATACTCAGGACGGCGGGTCCAGTATGGACAAGATTAGCAAACTAAGCAGGCATAGAGACATTTGGAGGAGGCCTTCGTCGTAGGGCGAACTACTAAATAGCATCTTCGATTAATATATAAAAACATGTAAAAAAAACCATTGTTTAGTTAAGTGTAATAGGACCTAAGTTCGATTTGAAACAATGCATAGTTAGGGCACAGAAGTTTCATTGAATCGTTCTGTTTGTCTGGAAATTAATCAATGAATGAAATAGACAAAGAAGTGTAGACATAATTTGCAATCGATAAACGTAACACTAATCTCAATCCACAAATTGTAATAAAGTTTATGAAACGAAAATTCTGGAATAGATAGAGTGAAAACTATGGGAAAATAAAATAATTGACACCAAGTAATCGCTTAAACAAAACACTTTAGACTCATTTAACAAATTATTTTAACTACGACCCGACGGAACAGATGGCGTTAGCGTAGCAGTTTTTACTTTGACGTTAGAGACACCCTCCATCTTTAGTCTCCGTGGCCACGGCTGCTGCAAACGTGTTCATTCAAGTGTTTTGTGTACTACTCGCGTAAACTACAGACTAATTAACACGATAACGCAGGACTTCCAGGAAAGCATTAAGCTATACAGGCGGAAGTCCATGCATTTGATTCGATCTTCCGAACTTTATTCGAGCTAAGGTTAACGCTAGATAAAATCTTAATCTTCGTTACTTGCACAGTGTTCTATTTTTTGCAACACCCACATCGGTACACTAGAGATAAAATATTCACGTTACCAAGCGTACCGTTTAACATTGTAGGTACTCGTGGATATAAACAAAGCGTTTTTGCTATGATTAGGCGTCCGTGTATATCCTGGAATTAACAGTTCAACGACCTGTATCCCATTAATAATAGAATGATGTGTGCCATGTAGAAGTACCGTTGGTATCGGCTCATCATCATGTACTCTTGAGCATTTAAGCATTCTTAACATTGATCATTAAATGTAGGATGAGTTGTTACTAGTTAGAAATGTTTTCCTAAGTACCTGCCTGTGAGGGGCAATTCTCGAATACGCGATATAAGATCAGCGTCATACGATTTTGACACATGGAGTATGACAATATGACACTTAGTAGCCAAACTATAATAAGTAATTATTCGACGACGACGTGTAGGACTCGGTAGCTCAATTGGTTAGAGCAACAGCACAGAACGCTGTGGATGCCGGTTCAAGCCCTGCCCGGGTCGTAAATTCTTACAATTTATAATCGATCGATTTTTAATTCATATAAGTAATATTAAATTGCAGAAAGTCTATTTTAAATTGAAAGTGTGACGTCAGAAAACCCGAAGAGTTGTAACAGGATTAAAAATATAGTATCATTGGAATGTGACGTCATAAAAGTAAATAAATTCTGTGTTAAATATTTTCATTTCAAGCTTCAACCGAACGCAACTGTCTCAGTTCTTTCATAATATTTATTTTGTAATTTAATGCGTAATTCCTTAGACTATTTGGATGACAAACATAATTGTTGTTTGATGAAGATATATCAGAAGATGTTAAGACTGTTTTATGATAGGTGAACGGTAATAGATTTTTCTGAATAGACACTTTTGTGTGGGAGTGGGAAGCAGATTGGCGATAAGAAAGTAATTTATTTTCTTTCTCATGTAGACTGACTTCCAATACGATGTATCTTAATTGACAGGGCTATTGTTCGCAATTGCAAAAAATAGAAATACAAGTTAAATAATTTGATGAGTAAAAAGATTTTAGACTCTACTCAAGCGCAGTAGAAGTTATATAAAAGCCTGACTTATTTGTAATCTATACTATTATAGCGTTGATTGTCAACGCTTTGGTTAGTATAAATGTAGCATAACGGGTCCCCAAAAAAACGTACGCAGTCGTTGTGTTTAAATAAAACACTTCAACTGTTTAAATATGTATTAGTTAAACTTATTTGAAAATAATTTAAGTTTCCGAAATAAGTTTAAGTTAAACTTATTTCGGATGCTTTTAAAATGTCAGACTGCGACCTATAGTAGCCGAAGAAACAGAGGGAAATGTGGATAAACCGGAAAAAATATTCATCTTTGAGGGCTACGAAAACGGTAGAAATTATCTATGAAAGAATGCGCTTTCTTTCAATTACGATTAACTCTCAAGAACGACAAAACGCGGGCGACGTCGTGGGTTGACGTGACGATTTATAAGGCTGAGGAGGTGTTTCGCAAAAATAAGCCAAATATAACTGCACAGCTAATAACTCTTTTGAACAAGCATATTTCTATATGCCTGTTCGCAAAACGTACAGCAAGTGCTTGATATTTTTAGTCCGTATCAAATTGATTGTATCCGAGGACATCTGCATTAAGGAGCAACATTGACCACTGATTTATTTCCACAAGCACCTATGATACACGAGCGCTGTACGCAAACATTCATCTTAATAAAATTAATCGGTCTACTTTCAATCAACGCCGTGTTTCACAAACAAACAAGAAAGATCTGATCGCTTAGCGAGCCAAATAGGTCGTTATTAATTAAATAAGATAGATATACAATTTATTACTGCACTTAGCAGTATAAATATAATCGGATTTCAATATTATATTGATATAGTTTAGGTAAAGAATATAGGATAGGGGAATAAGTTATAAATAACGACTGAGGTACAGATTAAATACTTGCCTATGAAAAAGTCAATCAATGAAAAAAACTAACAATTTTGTCCATCCTCTTACCTTAGAGGAATCGTCATCATAAAATTACTATCGAACTATATTAAGTGACGCAAAATGTTTAGCTAGTTTAAAATGTATAACCCAACTATTTCTAAATGAATTCGACGAAACTTTCAAGAATGCAGGTATAAAAATGAATAATTTACTGGCCGATTTTACATTCAGCGTATAATATATACCTAACTTAGAATTTCCGTTTCCACGTTGTGAAAAAGTTAAGTCAGTCAGTAATAAGTCATACGTAATTATTTCATGTCTAATTACTGTAATGATTATGGATCGTGATCTGACAAACGAGAAATTGTAACAAGTTAATGTTTGTTCTTCCTGGTAACAATCAGAAATCTAAAAATATACTAAGTGATGAGTGATGCAACATTTTTAACGAGGTCAGCTAACAGTTAATGAGAGGTAAAAGCTCCTTTGGATAACTAATCACCCACTTAAATACTAACTGGAAATTGATAAAACGTGACAAATGTAAAACACAACGGTTTGTCTTTGACAAACAAAAAACACAATGGTACGCTATCGCTTGTAACGGATAAACATTAAAAATACCACATTTATTCGTAACTGGTTTGTGTGTGTGCAGACTCTGTGTGTTTAACTGATCAATTTGCAAGTTGTTGACTTCTGTGACCTTCCCGACCGAAAATATTAATTATGTTTCACCATGCGAACCCAGGACGTATCGCGTTTAATGCAACGCTAGGGAATGCGCAAACATTGAGCTATGGAGGTAGTAACTGCTCCGTTTACATATTTTATGTGAGACAAACCAAATTCTGAGGATTTTCCTCTTTTGTCATGTCTAATAATATCCCAATATTAATTATAGTGTCATCATCAAGTGCGACAATAATAAATTGCATTGTATTCACTTCTATAGTAAACAAAATTATCACTTTACTGCTCTAATTTATGGAGGATTGATATTGAAATCGTTTAATTTACATAAGATAGAGAAATGCATATAAAAGAAACATAATAGACGCACAACAGAAAGGGAAAAACAAAAGACGAATTTGAAGGTTTATTTAACGCGATTAGAATTCTTTCTTCAGATTATTCTTTACCTATTTGAAAATGAAAACGAGCGCTGCATTTCCTTAGTTACGTGAAATAAGTAGCTACAAGAACAACTAGATAAATTACACTCCTTAAACCACGACCCAATATAGCACTTCTTAATGTTTAAACGTTAAACAATCTACATAACTTGTTTGCACTAACATTTACCGAATTAACAAATATTTGTAACAGCCTACACTTCGGTAAATCTAGTCTAATGGACTATAAATACCCAACTTGGCCACAAACTGAAACGTTTGTTTGAAATTCCAAATACTTTGAAAACAAAATAACATGATGAAAGAAAATTAACGGAAATTAATTTATTACACAACTATGTCGCTGTTGCGCAACCACAAAGAACGGAACGCTGTGGTGGTAACGTCGTAAGTTCGAGTCCCGCGCAAAGCATAAAATTTAATAATAATGTGACAAAGAATAATAAAGGAAAACTAAATCGTAGTTTTATTACAGGAATTGGAGTGTAATTAGTTTATATAATACCCTAACTACCTCCGTAATAAATAGTATTAGAAACTACTAGATAAAACGAATAGATATGATACAACATTACTAAATATATAGCTTTCCCACAAGAAATAACTAAAATAAAATTACTAAGAAGAGTTACCTTTTGGACAACGAGGGGCGTTCCAAAGTCCTTCCCTCCTTGCAACCTGAAGCCCAGGGGCTGTTGGTCCGACTTGTTAAGCCGCACAGTCATTAACTGTGCCATCTGGAAGTATAAAACCACAGATAAAAATGCATTCCACAGACATACATATTTCAAGATTAGGCCACATTTCAGAATCACAGAGAATAAAATCTAGTTTTGAAAACGTCACTACAAATTATATGGTACTTAGTAATCTGTCCGCAGTATAAGTAATTGAATAACCACGCATTTATATATTTAAGTATAATAAGTATGTCAGCTTTTTACGTAAAACGTACTAGTAAAACACTTTTAACAGTTTTTAACACGCATTTTACTTTTAAATTCAAAATAAAAATAAACTCATTGATGGGGCATCGGCTTACAACAGTTAAAAATGCTTATGGACATTTTTTTGTTGCAATATTTTAAACGATCAATATTTGATCGTCTACAGAAACGAACGCGCACTCGTACATTCTACCCAATTCCTTCTCTAACTTGTTAAACGTATTATCCTAAACTAGCTGTGTCAGCGACTTCGCCCGCGTAAAATAGTTATTATGAGCTTCAAAATAGACCACGACCCAGGAGGTCAGACGCATCCCGTCGTTCTTGCAAGTTAACCTTCAAACATAGACAAGATATAGTGTCGCAGACATTTTTTTAGACAAATTTTCGATTCCGACCAGTAGTTTCTGAGATTAGCGCATTCAAACAAACAAACTCTCCAGCTTTGTCTATAAGTATAGACTAGACAAGTTATAAAATATAATTGTTTATGCAACCATATGTAAAAATGTTTAATATTTCCTGCATGGCGTGGCATTTGATTGACCTAATTGAAGATTTATTTTCACTCAGCCGTATCTTCGCTGACCGCAGTCGGTGTGTTCGGTCACTGCGGTCTAAATTTTATCTCACCGAAGATCTTACTCTGATTCAAAAGACATCAGTGAAAGGCCGAGAGCAAAACTTTCGTTTAAAGGTACAAGGAATAAACAATAACCTAATCATTTATCAGTTTTTCGATGTCTTGATTTCTCTTCGCTTATAACCGATTAGGAATTCGCTGATAAGATCTTTCATTGTTGATGCAGTATGGAACTGATCGTGCATAACAAAAGGAAATTCCCATATAGGACATCATATACTTACAGGCAAGATCAGCATTGTGTCCTTCCTAACCACAACAAAACTAGTAAAACATCGCTAATGGTAAAAGACTGTGTTCGATTCGAACAAGACCTAAAATTTAATCCAAAATCAATTTATCTGTCTGGAAAATTTGATATATGGGTGGTACGGATGTCGACATTCCGCCTGCGTCACGAACCACCGTCCACAGATTAAAAAGCCGATGTTGTAATCGCGTCGGCTTCAATCAGTTGATTTCTGACTGTCAAAAGCTAAGATAGTTCCACGGGACATCTTTTTTAGATTCTATATGCGTATTTAACGTTACATCCGAACCCTATGGTTGTCTGGTATTTTCTGTTATAGTAGTGTTTATCAAAATTTTAAGAAAAGGCAAAATTATTTTATATCATTATCTTACAACGACAGATTGACCGTCGATGCCGTAAAACATAACATACAGCTGAGATATAATTATAGCACACGAAAAACAAGAACACTCGGGACTGGTCGCGCAAGCGGCGAGCATGAAATGCAAATTTTTTTACTTCCTTCGCATTAAGGCACTTTTTAGACCACGCTATAATATAATAGCATAGCACAACAATATCGCGCCGTTATTATAGACGGTTTTGCTTACTATAAACGCGTATATAGTATAGTTTGCGATATATTATGGCGTAGTATAAAAAGAGCCTTAATGTGTTAAGATGTGTCTGACATTCCTCTACCTCTCTTGCTGTGCCACCAATCAATAGGTTGTGGCGCTCTTCAGTCGACACTCTCGTCTCTATCCATTCAATGGACAACAAAAAAACGACAAAGCAAGTAGTTTCTTACTAATGAGACTACTATTCAATCTACTTTTTTATTGTCCACAATAAAATCTTGTATTGTAACGTGTTCCAGCATTAAGTGATTTATTCTCAAAGGTACATGCCAACTTTATAGTTGCTAATAAATTGATCGTTCTACTGTGTTCGAGAAGATGTTAAAAAAAATATAATGTCTGTAGTTAACGTGAGTAGCTTTAAATAAATCACTTTTAACGGTTTTTAACACGAAATATTTTAGTTCACTTATAATTTATTTTAACTACGGTCCAACGCGGACGTTTCAGAACCCATAGTGACCACGGCTGTTGCGAAAGGTTTGTTGAGCCGTATTTAAATATAGTAAATATATAGATATATAACTTCCTTTTGATATTCACTCTTCTAAATATATTGCATCCACCTCTAAAGTTTTAAATTTGTATAAAATAAACATTAGGAATATAAAAGGAAGTCAAGAAAAGGAATATAAGAAAGAAACATTGTCTTTCCTGGTTTTATGCATCAGGAATTACGTACAAACACTACAGAAGCCAGTTCGTATAGCCTTATCAGGTTTAACGCTAAGAATTACTCACTTATTGTTAGTACGTATAGTGGATTTCTGTGTTGTACCTATTTTCCTGCTATCTCCATTGTTATTGTTGTAATTTTCAGTTCGTAACGTCATTCTTCGGCCTTCGCTCGTGATTGACCGCCATGTTCACGGCTTTATCTCAAGAATGCAATCTATGATAATAATTATTCTAACAGCTTCGAATATAACTATGCCATCTTATCTAAATGTCTCTTTAGAAAGACTATGGAAACGGTACTATTTCGTGATACTTTGAAGCTTATCATGGATGTTGGAATAAAAATCAGCAAACAGACAATAGATGAAGTTGGCATCTATTGTCTGTTATGGTTTAGTCTTTGTTGTTTTTGGAACAAAGTGTAATTTTGTGCTAAAGTCTTTAATTTAATGATTTACTTAGAACTATGGAACGCTGTAGATGCCGATTCAATTCTCGTTCTTAGATTTCTTTTTTTAATCTACGAAGATTTTAAATTCTAATGGGAAATAATGTTATTTTTATAAATTTTGAAAATTATGCCGTGAATTTTTTTCTTCAGCTATCATTTTGAAAAGTATATTTACTAAATTTCACTTACCACCAACCTCTTGAAGCTAATGATTATAAGGAAAGAATTGTATTCTATCTTTTATACCATATCTGTACATTGTGTGTACTTAAATGCCTTTTCTTTGTTTGTCTTAATCTGTTAAAAATTACATATTTCAATGTCATAAATTTTATACCGTGGCTGTATTCATTACCGGTATTTTGAAATCAAGTTTGCTAAAACACTTTCTTGGGCATATTTCTTACAAAAGATTCAACAGTAATGTACATTTGTGACCTCTGGCAAAATGAAAGTAAAGGTAAAAGGCCCTCAGGTCAAACCTCTGGTTCTGGCAATGACGAAACAGAAATTTTACCAAAAGCAATGACTTGTTCGATTTCTTCGATATATACGTAATATTTCCGTGAACAGACCGATGTCCACATAGTTCGACTGTTGTGTGTATTTAAATTTTTTACCGGATTGTTAGTCATACGCCATTTGATGACGTCATGCGTATGAGTCGTCGGAAACGGCGTGATACTGATTGGTATAAAATATGATATAGGGACTATTAAAGTTTTTGAAATGCAAAATACTATAATTAAATTGTCATTTATCTATGTGTTAGAGATAGTACGTTTAATAGCAGCGATACTTCTATGCTAATATTATAAAACTGAACTCCCTATTCTAGTTCGAATTAAAGTAATAACTTTTTTAGATTAGACTATTTATCGAGGAAATCTTAAGACTTGGAAGCTGCGACCAATAGGAGCGAAAAAACGGGGGAAAATGTGGAAAAATGGGGAAAACATTTCGTCTATCAGGGATTTTCTGTTGCTTGAGTGCAACGAAGACGATTAGTTTATATCATCAGTTAGTCACTGTAACCTTCTCAACCGAGATTAAGCAGCAACTCCATCGCTTAAAACAATGCTTGATCATACAATTTTAAAAACCTTTCATAAATACGGAAAAAACAGCTATTTTGCGTGCTACAACTAAATAAGGATAATTTTAAAGGCTTTTGCCACACAACTTCAGAATTGTCTGTAGTTTACACGAGTAGTACACATTTAAATATATTACTTTATGCTTTCATTTTGAAGAATTTTTAAACTTATCTATACATTTCGCGTTTAAACTGTTAAAAGTGTTTTATTTAAACATATAACTTTGTAAAGTGCTTTACTTGTACGACAATGTTATTTATGTGTGTGAATCATAAAAATTACGATGTTTTTTACGAACAGAATTGTTCGCCTTAAAAGATTGTAAACATACAAATTAACGTGTAAAACATTGTATATCATTTGCAATAAATCCAAAAGTTTTACGAACGTATAGGTGACATTGGCAATTGCAAAGCCGACTTTACGCGCTGAAAATAGATTTTTGGCAAACGTTTAATAAGTAGGCAGTTGTAAATTTAGCAACAACAAATTGGTATATCGATATCGATAAGTGTTGAGTAGGCGCGAATTGTAGGAAAATGAGAAAACACTGTAACTATAATAGTCAAAAGCTTCTTAAGGCACGGTATTATTATTTTTAAATACTGTCTATACTCTATAGTTTACGCGAGTAGTACTCATTTAAATAAAATATTTTCTTTTATTATATGGTCGCTCATATATTCACTCATATATTTCGTGTTTTAAAATGTTATTGTTTTCTTTAAACAATTATAATTTCCCGATAGCTTGATAGACCACCACTGTAACTGTAAATTTAAACAAAAAGATTGTCGAGCCCGATTTTCAAGAAGTCGTAGGTTCAAATGCCTGGATAAATGCGTTAAGTTTATTATTAGTATTATATTAGTTAATTTACATTTAACAACGGCCCCACGTCTCGGATGCTTAACATAGTGGTCGCTGGCGAACTAATATATTTCTCGTTTCAAACCGTTATAAGTGTTCTCTCATATTTCTCTCACTTACTACTTTTGTAGACTACAGATAAGCTTTACACCCTTCCTTAGAAGGAATAGGTAGATGG